CTACATCTTGAATGCCCTGGGGGTAAGCAGATAAACATCAAATTTTAATTTTTGGGTGAACTATCCCTTTAATGAGTTAATCCAAATTTAACAAAAAGCTTATGGATGTAATTATAGTATAAGTCTTTAAATTATAATAAAGTTGCTGTTTTTGTCAGTCTTCTGAGGAAGATTTATTCACCTGTTTTGAGACATTTTTCCTCAGATTTTTAAATGTTTCCTCTCAGAAATGCTCTTAAGAATAGTCTTAAGCTTTGACTTGAGTGTCAAAAAATTCTTAGTAAAAAGTAGGAAAAAGTCTCAAAAGGGGTGAGGAAGTCACAAAATCTAGTGACAAAATCACTAAATTGGCAACATTTACACTGACTACAATATAATCAGTTATTAATATTTTGTTGGTCCTCTCTTGTTTTTGCATGTGTTCATAATTTCTTTGTGTGACAGCATGGCCAAAAATTATGACCACACAATTTGGCATGTTTCATTGCATTATTATCATGAATAAAACAGTTGACCTTTGCACAATGCAAAGCATTTAAAAAAATACATTGTAATATTAAATAGCATCTTAATGAAATGATTGTATTGTAGTTACATTAAATGATTGGTGTTGTGCTGCTGTGACTTCACATTATCAGACTCACTATTGGCTGTTTCAGAGGTCGAGGGCAGCCATTTTGGGTTGACATCATTGTAGTCTTTAGTTCACAACACTTAAGTGTCACCTCAGTCAACACTTAAGAATCAGTCTTAGACTTTACTGAAAGTTGCTTTTAGCTTCTTTATAACGGTCTCCTACTCTTAGACAAGTCCTACTTTCTACTAAGAATTTTTTGACACTTAAGTCAAAGCTTAAAACTATTCTTAAGAGCATTTCTGAGACGTTTTATGCATACGAGCCCAGATCAAAAGAGCCATTCATTTTCAAATTTTGACATCACTTGTAATGATTTTAAAAAGCACATGTAGTAATGGCTGAAACTGAGCTTTTTGAAACTCTGAATCAGTTGAACCATTACATCGTAAAATGATTCACTGTTTCGAAGTGCTCCAATTGGATTGCGTATTGCGAATCATATGATGCGGGTTTGTAAATCTTTTTTTCTGATTTCTTTTTATATTATTATTTAATAGTACAAAACTTCAAATCATTAATACAGTAGTTATAAAAACAAAACAAAGAAATAAAGTATACACAAATACAAATCCCTTGAGAAAATGAACCATGGTTTTATTACAGTAAAAGTTTTTTTTTTTTTTTTGTATAACCACAGTTTTACTACAAATACCATGGTTAAACTGTTGTTAGTGTAGCAAAACCATGGTTAATTTGTGGTTACCATGGTTCAACTGTAGTAACCATGCTTCTTGTGGTTAGTTTTCATAAGGTATGTGTTGCCAAGTTAACAAAAAAAAAAGAAAAAGAAAGAAAAATAAATAAATGTACACCTTATGTCTGTTAACACCAATAAAACGAGCTTAATGCTGCAATTAACAGATCTGAACACATCAGCATAATGAATGAGGTGAAAACAGGATCTATTCACATGAAATAAAGAGGATTTTCAGCAGCTGATAATATTGATGAGCCTCAGACTATAAACACTCATTAAACAAGCCATCCAGGTTTATCAGCAGATCTCACTTTTTTAAAAAAGTGTTTGTGGGAAGAAATTGATTATTTGTGCAAGGATATTTTCTGAAAGACTATACAACTGCTCTATAAAACATTAGGCTATATGATTACTTGCATAACGTGATACAGAAAAAATGTCAGGCAATATAAAGACAGACACAACCATTATAATTTTTGCATATGAATCTAAACATTGTTAAAATTCCTGATAACTGCATTCATAGTGTAGGGGTTGGTAAAAATGAATGTGCTTAAAATGCATATGTCTATATGGGTAGAAAAAAAAACACCTCTTAAAATTGTGGGTGGTATTTGTGCCTTAAAAACATTAATTATGTTATATAAATTGGTGTAAATTCATCATCTTAATTTTCATTAATCAGTTCACTGAGTGGAAAAGAATGCTTTGTCGCTGTTATGCTTGCTGCCTGAAGAGGGCGCTTAATGCTATTGTTTCAAGGTAATGCAGCGGGCGAGTCAGAATCAATTAAATATTGCCGAAGACTGCAGCCAGTACTCCTCTGTCTTACAGCGTTTCTTTTCATTATATTACAGTGCTGGCCAGAGTTGTACATCTAATTTACCCACTCAGGCGTCCCAGACTTGAGGCGGGTAACAACTTGGGGGCTCGTCCGGGATCAGCGCCACCTGGTGGTCGGGTGCTGATCAGTAAAGAACCACAGTGGTTGAACGTCTTTCATCCCAGACCAGTGAGTTGAACGGCAGACACCAGCAGTCCAGTCATGGCTACTCTTCGAGATTCATATGTATCTATATTCAGACTGAGGTATTTATGTATGGTTTAATGATGCAGATGGACAGTCAGTCATGTGTGGACAGTCAGACCGCTTTTCAGCAGTGACTGTATGATCTTGAGATCCATCTTTTCACTCTGAGGACAATTGAGGGACTCATACATAACAATTACAGCTTATTCAAGACAGTACTAAATAAAAAATAACATGAGATTTTCATGATCCCTCTTATTTTGTTAAAATTATGAATATTTTGAATATTCTGCAAGGGGTATGTAAACTTATGTGCACAACTGTAATTTATTAGGCTTTTAAAATCTTTATTGAGAAATTTAAAACAGAATCCCACAAAGCAGACTTAATACTAATGGCTTTCAGATACAGCCAAAATTATAAAGTTATTTTTTACTGATGCAAATACAATCAGAAGTCAATAAAAGTTGCAGATAAACTGTAAGCAGTAAAGATCATGTATTAATACAGAGGTAACATTTACTCTATGATCACTCAAAGCAAATACAAAAAATAGCCAATTAAAAGTGCTTTCTCCAGTACCAAAAGCACCTGGTTCTGGAACCCATCCCTACTTACGAGCAAAGGAGGATCGGTTGCAATGCTACAGTACATCTTGCATTTGGATTTTCTAAATACATCATAAATGGAAGAATATCTACTTGATTTAAAAACAACAATGAAGAACAGGATAAAAATAAATGTCAGTTTAAAAGTTACAGATTCTTCTTCAGCTTCCAGAATAAGAACGTTTCGCACATGTAAAAAAAAAAAAAACGACTTTCCTTCATAAAAAGGGTAAACAAAAGTGATGAATGAAACTCATAAAACACAATGATATAATTAAAATCATGAAGTAAAATGACAAGAATAAAACTTTTAGATATTGTTCTTTGGGGAGGAACTCCATCTTTGAGTTGATCTGAATCTGACAGATGAAACTGTAAGGTTTCTCTCCAGTGTGGATCCTCTGGAGCCGCTTCAAATCTTCAGCTGTAATAAAAGTCTTCTCACACTCAAAGCACATATGGTCTCTCACACCAGTGTGTATCTTCTGATGAACTTTTAAACTCTGCAGTTGTGAAAAACTTTCCACACAAAGAGCATGAATGTGGTTTCTGTTTCTCCTTCGTATGAACTTTCAGGTGATTCTTCAAGCATGAAGCCCACAAACATGTTACAGTTGAAACTTCTGGTCTTGAAGATGAACTTTGTTCATGGGGACTTAAGATGATGTTTCTTTGTTAGGACAGATTTATACAGAAGATGCTTTATTTCTTGACACATTATTGTGTCATGTTTGGTGAGGACGCAACGTCAGACCTAGTGATGGAACGGTTCGCGGAAAAAAATCTAACCATACGGTTCTCCACACACGGTTCGGCATGCACTAGGACCGCGG